AAAGCTATCAGAAACAAGCAGGAGCGCTAATAGGTTTTGAGCAAATAAAGTATGTCTTCCAGGTTGCTCCCATCTAGGATCCAAGGGCACAAGCGCTGCTCACTGTTGAACACTTATAGTTTTCCTTTGGAAGAATGAAACACTTGGACAATATTGGAAGCCACTGTAAAAACCCATATAAATGACTGCTAATCGCAATAATCCTTAGTTTTGTCTCATTACATTCCAAGTTTATTATCATAGCCAACTTACCTTGGTTCGTCTTTAGCACGCAGTACTGCATACTCAGCAGCACATGTAGATGTTCACTGCGTCTAAAGGACCAGCTTCATATTGTACAATCACTTGAAATGGTAATGAAGAGAAGCACTGTCTTCAATCTTATTTCCTGCAGTTTTCCCTCAGCATGTACTGCCCAAAAACTTCAGTGATTATCCACATTGGCCTCATTAACCAAAGCGTAAATTTCCGTCTTGGTTGGTGAAGTATTTTTGCATGTCGTTTATGAGCTGTTTATCAGAGGTTCAAGATAATAAAAAAAAAAAATAGAAATAGCCCATGTTGACCAGACTTTTCTCGGATGGTAAATGTGCTGCTGCTTTCTAAAAAATGCCCTCTTCTAACTTACTAAAATATGTTAATCGACCATCTTGGTCACTTCAGACAATGCTACAGCTGGTGAATGCAGAACCTGTTCTCAATGTATCACTCCGTACTCATTCCATATGCTTATAACATGGCGACACATAACTGAAGGTGCTCTCTAGTATTTTGTGCTCTTCTTTTAACAAAAAATGACATTGTTGTCACTCTACTGATTGTTTTTTTTTTTACTGGCGGCAAGGATTATGTGGGATTGAATGTTCAACAACACGCAATGGGATAGTTAGCGGTAGAAGTAGGCTTCTTTATCCAAAGCTGAGCAAACCATTGAAGGCAGAAGTGAAAAGAAGCCTTAGTCGAGGAAAAAGAGGGCTTTGCAGTCATATTGATCTTAGACCCGTATATTCGACTTCATTTTAGTTTTGTTTGTGTGGCCAGTGCATGTTTGTTTGCTCCACTGAAATCACTTTAGACTATCAATTTTTTGATTTTATAAGAAAGGAGTGTGTAACGAGCCTTAACTGATGACACTGATACAAATATATTTTTTGAATACAGTCCTTTACATTTATAAGGACTCTTCCTTATACATACCTATTTGTAGGATGATATAGGTTCGTTCTAAAAAATTCATATCAAAGATTTATCGCGTCTATGTGTGGCGCGTTATTGCCACTAATTTCTACTGCTAATCATTTTAGCGCATTTAGTGTTTTTTACCCTATCATAATATTGCGTACTATGGAATATGCAACAGAGCGCGATGAGTGTTGCATATTTCAATATGCAATATAATAAAGGTCCGGCTAAAAAACTAGGAAAGATCCTAAAAACACACTAGAGAAATTTCAACTGAAATTGTACGATAAAAAAAACTAGCAGTAGAAACTAGTGGCAATAACGCGTCACACTAAGACGCGACAAATCTTTGACATGAGAACCCATTTTGTCTTATAGATAGATACGTAGTTACCTGGTATAAGTCCCTCTACCAGAAAATGAATAAACACCCCCATGGGTGTGGTGTGTGGACCCACATCTTATTCTCACTTACTTTTTCTACTGCTTACGATCTATCTGCAAAATATTTTTCAATGAGTATCGCAGCTCCAGACTCCCCTCTACTCTAGACTCACCTTCGCTTATTCCCTTCGAAATAAAAAGCTGGAATCATGTAATCTGTAGAATACACGCTGCTGCTTGTAGATGAAATAAAGACCCCATGAAAATAATTTTTTTTATAAGTGAAAGTTTATTTGCACCAGGGCCGTACAAATAACTTCATCCTTTTTTTTTTTTTTTTTTTTTTTTTTTTTTGGAAATGTATTTTTGCGGTACAAATAAGTTTATTCTTTTTTTTTTACTTAGGATTAGTTAGTCTAATTGGCAGGTCAGGATCCAAATATAACCTATTTTGGAGACACTTTTTGGCAGCCTAGCTATCGAGGAATACCCGTATATTTTGTCTCTCTAGCATTATTGTTTTATCTGTAACAACTCTCCTATCTCGCTTACTGGGAGCAACCCTGTGGTGATGAGAAGCACAGTAGCCCCTATTGAACTTGTTGACATCCAACAAAAAAAGGTTTACCAAGCTTTTTAATCGTGACATTCAGCTACAATCCAGTGACAGTAACGATTAGAAGCGCATCAACATATTTATACGATCCTAATGCTTCCCGTCTATTGACATTTTCATTTAGAGGAAGCTCACCTATTAAAAGCGAGTTTACTTGAAATACTGAAATAATAGCCCTCGTGCAAATACCTTCATTATTTGGCAGCACCCAAGTGTGTGAAGTTAAGTGGCTGCCTCAAAAAATAGGCTACTAAATAATGACACAAATTACTGTATTTAGTATGGACTGCCAAATAATATATGGTGCTTGGGATGCCAATTAGATTAATCATTTCACTTATTTGTATGGGCAATTTACTTTTTTTAGTTTTTTTTTACCAATGTTTAAGTAACAAATAAGTAAAATTCTACTGAAAAAACTTCATATGCGTATGTTTAATACATCAGTACGATACACTGGTTTGGGCATTAAATTTGTGCTGTATAGGCGATAAGTTTGTGCCGTTTTCTTCCAGCGCGTGCTGGAAACATTAAGCCCTTTCTCCTCAGGCTCTGACTGGAAATGGAGTGTGTGTGGCTTACAACATATTGCGAAAAACGCAAAACACATAATAATAAAAATTATCCTGGCAAATTTGCCAGGTTGACGGTTTAAGGGATAGGTAAATTCGCCCATTTCAAGCCCAATTCGGCCACACCCTCTGGAACTGCTAGCAGGCGCGGAAGTGCAATTTATTCTAGTGGGCTTTGCGCTTTCTGACGAAACCTATCATCCGTAGATATGTGATGAGTATACATTTGTGACCAATCTAGGCAACCATTTCAAACTTAGTATTGCAAAACTTGATAAAAACAATGCAGTGCAAAATAGACACACTCAAAATTCATCGGACCTTTAGGGAAAATACATTTTTCAATTTTGGATGCAGTCGTGATAAAATATATGCTAATTACATCGTTAGAAAAAAGGAGAAGAGGAAAAAAGGGAAAGCAAGGTTCAAAAAATAACATTTTAAACTCTTCTCTGCATAAAATATTAGGTAACTGATACTTGTTTCAGCAAAGCTCTGCTTTTCAAGATTCTAGTGCAATAGCTCAGAGTTATCAAAAATGACATGATTTCACTTGTATCTATTATAAGTTTTACTAATATTGCCCCATGAATCTGAATATATTTTTTTTAAATGGAAGATAACAAGTTCCGCTTGTTGCTCACTCTGGCAGAGGTCATTCATGCTTAAAGTCAACTTTGATGCAGTGTCGATTAACATTGAATGGACTCTTATATCTAGCGTCCTCTATTATTTATTGAATATCGTAGCATGTAGTAAGCATCTGGTGCTTGAAGGAAGAAACAGCGGGGTTTACAGTCTGCCGTCCATTGGAACATTTACTGAGGACAATCCTGTGTTGATGAGAAGTACAAAGGCTTCTGTTGAACCTGTTGGCACCCAACATAAAAAGATTCTCCGCTCTAGGTCAATATACCATTTTGGCCGTGACATCCAGCTACAAACCGGTGGTAGTAACGGTTAGAAACGCATCAATGTATTTATGCGATCACATCCTTTCCTATCCATTGCGAAGTTTTATTCAGATGAAGCTATTAAAGGCGATTTTTTTTATTTGTACGAGGGAAAGGAAGGGGACAGTATGACGAAAGTGTGTGGGGCTGCGCAAGTATCTTTTTCTTTTTGTTCCCTTTGTTGACGTCTGCAATAGGCGGCAACTTTACTGATGCGCTCACAACTTCACATTTTACATCCACCATTAGAAGCACACTAAACTGAAGCCCTTATAAGGATAATTTAGTCGCTTCGGACCCCAGAGTTGAGACAGCCCATTTATAGAGCTTACATCTAAAATAAAACTCATGGCCTTGTGGGTCTTTGTAATTAAAAGGGCAAATAAAAATGGTAAATGACAATGACAATGAAAATGACTCAGTTATTCGATCTCTCACATCATTGGAGCCAACAGTGAATCTGCATAATAGAATTGAACGCCATGTGCATGTTATTCTATCGCATAGGTACTCCTATGAAACACATGTTCAAAAGAGACCCGGCCACTGCCTGAAGCATCTGTACTTATTTAGTACGCTACTCTGAATACTTGGAGCCATATTCGATTGATCCTAAGAAGTTCAAGAAGCCAGATCCTATTGTTATAATACTCTAGCGATGAGTCATGCATACAACTTGGAACTCTATCGATTGATAGCAAGGTTACCTCATAGCTCCCACATAACCAACAATCCTCATCAAAATCCTTGGAAAATACTAACAAGAGAAAGAAGATAAGTGATAATTGAATGTGGATCGCAGCACATTGTCTGGATATTTATTATTTTATTTTCTACATAAAAATAGATATCTCTATCTATGAGCTGGAGGGCTGGACGACTGGAGGGTTGCAGTGTCAGGAATGTTAAGAATGCTATCCTTTTGTAAGACGAAATATGTAGCAATCCTCCTGGCAACGCCTTCATTATCAGTTCTCACTGCAGCTTTCAATTCCACCAGAGCCTTCAAATTACTCTGCACACATTTCACCAACAGCTCCTATATCAGAACAGTAGCCATTGGCGTTACAGAATAATATTAGGAATAGTGGTTACATCATGCTGCCCGATGCCCATTTGCTAACTTAACAGGCTCCACGGCCCAGTGAAAACGCTATCGTTTGAGACAAGGTATGGCCTTTCATTTTAACCCGTCGAAAAGCCTACAGGTACCGCCACCAGTTTGTTGAACAAATCAAGGGAAGGCATTGACGAGGTAGTATAGCCGCTATCGGAAGCGGCCAAATGGTGACCATGGATTTACCTCGCTTCGAGATGGAGGCAGAAAAAGGAGAACAGAAGATGAATACACGGAAACTAGGCACAGTCATCGTAAGCCCCCTCTACCTGATACATTAGGGCTACGCTAATGTTACCAGAGAGCCACGAGTACAGTAGGCCGGATTCTTCATTTATGGAAGAAAAAAAAGGCCATGCCAGAATTCCTTCCTCAAATTAATCTGTACGATAGGATATGGTGACGCCACAGCCTGAGGTAGTTCTGATGAGAATGATGGATAAGAAGCCAACGAAGCCTATAAGTGATACTGCTTCCAAGTGCTCGGGCGCAGTAGAGTTAGAAGGTGGAGCCGAGGGAAATGTTAGAATGTGTAATGCAAGTCAGTTGCTGATAATAACGTGGACTATGAAATGTAATTCAAGTGGAGAGAAGAAGGGGTTAGACTAGTTCACAAGGAGAAAAAACATCCCGTAAACTTGCGAAAAAACAGTGGATGTGCCCCACTGTGCCGCTTGTTGCATATCAAAGCCAACACCATTGTCAGAATTATCAATCATGCTTGGGCTTACGTCGCAAAAGCACTTGGTAGCTATACAGAGCTATTAAGAATAGTAGAGGGTGTTTGGACAAGTGTATCGAATGAGCTTATCCATAAACCGTATGAGGGTTTGTCAAGACGTATGAATAAGCGTTACAAAGCCAGAAGACATTATATTAAGTATAAATGCCTAAGGAAAAGTGGATACGAACTACAGTATAGAGAAAGTTCATATAAAGAGTTCCATTTAAACTTCAAAGCAGCTGATGACGATGAATCAACTTGGAGGTAAAGAATTAGGATAATCATGGCTTTGGATGCTGGATGCTATTTGGAAAGTTAATGAGGAAAGATGGTGTATGCAAGTTGAATGTTAATGAAAGCATAAAAGGAAGGTCTATTAAGAACCGCAGTTTGACGCGACCTAATATCTTTGAGCTTAGTTCAATTGTGTCCAAGATCCAAAATTTATTCACCATGGATACTGACTGGATACTGGCGCACTTTTTATCCTCTTTGGTTAACTTTAAAAGGTGTCAAGATAGAGGTGTCTAGCCAGAAAGTTGGAGAATCAACTCGACTACGCGAGTAAGTTTGTGTTAAATTTAAATATAGTGTTACAAGGACTGCATTGCAATGATGGACGTACGCCAACACCATGGAGCTTGAGAAGTCATAATTATCACCACTTGTGAAATTTTTGGGGTCACCTTGGGGTATCGAATTCATGTATGAACCCGGCCTTTGAAGGTAGCGCAATGATTCAACCCCCCTCACTCCGCTTGACTCTCCTTCATTTTTCTCTTAGCAGTTGGGATGGCCATTTCGAATGTATCCATTAGCAGGGGTTCTTATTTTTTGGGGGTTGACTAGATATTCACCCAAGTTGTAGATGTCGTAAGGCTTAAAGGCCCATTAAAGTTGAGGAAAAGAGGGGGCGTAGTATCATATAGCTTGAAGGCAAAGGAGAGCATCTGTTCATGCTTTCAATATACTTCCAGTTAAAGAAAGTAAACAAAATAGCAATAGGCTTTCGTAACCACATTTGGGTAGGATGGGCCTTGACTGGCCTTTTGTGTTACATGATTACACAAAAAATAGGGCAACATCACTCGTTCATCTCATGGGCATGGCAAGTATGCGATGTTTTCTCCATTTGTCCCCCTATTCGAAAGGGCGAAAGGATTATTCTTTTTCTTTCATTAATCACCAAATCTTTTAATATTGCGAATACAGAATATCGCTACACAGTGTTCTTAGCCATACAAGCAGCTGCTCTTTTCTTTCTTCTCTACTCCCTATTGATATATTGCCCTAAAGGACAGGTGAAAGGAGTCAAAAGATGGATACGTCAACCACAGTGCAATCATCGGTCTGGACTGACGCGATCCAGGACCAGCTTCTTGAAGAAGATGCCGTAAATGCGGAGCCGACATCTCTACTGACAGAAGCCATGGAAGCGCAACGGTTAGCATGCCTTCGAGCGTTGCCATGGCACCACCGTCCATCAATCACATGGCTATTGCCTTTCATATTCCTGTTGGCGCTGAATATAGGCATGACCTCTGCACCTCTGGATCAACAGATCATTCAGATTATTTGCAAGGCCTTCTTCAGGAATGAGAAAACATTATATGGAGAAGCGACAGGAGCCATCGGCGATAATAAATGCAATATCCCTGCCATACAGGCTATCGCAGCTGTTGTGATGAGTCGTCTCTCATTCGTCAAGTATGTTTCAGGTAAGTTTTTTTTTTTTTTTTTTTTTTTTTTTTTTCGGTAATAATCATCGATCTTGCCAACCAGAAGACTGACCCTCTACATTGGCTTTTGTACCTTAGCCATTTTTACAGTCGGGTTTTATACGTCTCAGTCAGATCATTTTGGAAGAAAATACCTGCTTTATTTAACAATCATTCCATCGATATTGTCACAGCTACTGTTGATCTGGATGAGTTTGCCCAATAACCACATGGGTATTATTTGGCTTTTTGTCAACGCCCTGATTACAGGCTGCCTAGGCGCAAATGCCCTTCTGGAGCCTAGCCTCAGCGCATACATTGGTAAATCATGATGCTTTTTTTTACATTTTATGTTTCAGAGAGAAAAACTATACAGGTATTATTCTAGAGTCCCCTTCATAGTTTCAACTTGTCCATTTCTATTTTTAGCGGACTGTACGTCCCAAGCAGAGAGAAGTTTGTCTATCGGGTATGTGATGGTAGTAACGGGCATGGGCATGGCTCTAGGGCCTGTTCTTGGAGGTAATATCATCGGCATCACTGGTGATGTTAACACGGTTTTGATTGTATCCGTGGCCGCTCAACTGGTCCTGCTCCTATACGCAGTCATTTTGCCAGAGTCCCACCCAAAGAAGCCCATCCCTTCTCTGACTATTGGGATGGCGCATATGAAGAGCAGTAACAAGCAAGTGTCTACTCCATACTCATATAAGGTGAAGCAGCTCTTGCTGGAGGCCTTAAATCCGCTCTTACTGTTCCTTCCAGGGAAGATCAAATCAACATGGGATGCCAGTATTCGATCATCACCCTATATCCTCACCCTTTTGGTCTCATCATACGCTTGGATTGTATTTGCAGCTGGTGGTAATGAGAATGGAGAGGGTATCAGTCTTATATTAATATAATTATTGGCAGTAATTCCTAACTCCCAGGTATTTGTCATTTTATTAACTTTCATAGGCATTGATATTATTTTTACCCCATACTCTGTGAGGCATTTGGTTGTGGTAACAATTAGGCAATATGTTTATAAAAAAAAGGCATTATGGCATTACTGATCTTGGATACGAATTCTTTCCTTTTTTCTAATACCAATATAGAAACTCAAATACCAATGGACACCGCTAGAGTATGGTAACTATTTCACCTTCTCAGGAGTAGTAACATTAATTGTCTATACTGCCTTGTTCCCAGCTATGCAATTCGTTTACAACTTTGTCATACAGGAGAGGAAAGCTCAATCGAATTTGGACGCAAACACCGTTGCTCCACATCCCAGATCCTCAATCCAATCAGATGCAGAGGAGTTGTTATTACGCCATAGTCTTCACGAGAGGACGCCATTGCTTCAGGAGGCTCGCGTATGTGCAGGGTCAAATGCCATTAACGAGGCCGTTATCGATACTCATAGTACTCAGGACGGGCTACCATCATATAGGGCCACAGATGTGTCTGATGTGAAGGTCATGCAAAAGGCTATCGAGAAAGACATCTTTTTCTTAGTCTTTGGAGCCATACTATATGTTATCGGCTTCGCGATTGTACCAGCCTTTGATGCAGGAATCGTTTTATACATTGGTAAGTCTCTGTCTACAACTTTATTTTAGTTGAATGGTGTTTGTCCTGATATTTTTTTATTTTTTATTTTTTTTTATAGCTTGTGGCATCCACGCGATGGCTTCTGTCTATGACGTCTCGTTTACATCGCTCTTGACATCTTGTGTACCCACAGATCAGACGGGTAGAGCTCTTGGTGCAATTTGTATCATGGATTTGATGGTACGAGCAGTGTCGTCTCTGTTCTTCGGTTGGATCTTTAGTAGAACATCTGTCATGATGCCCTCGACGGTATATGTAGTCTCAGCAGCCCTCGCAGCATGTTCATTAGCAGTTGCACTAGCATTATGGTCAAAATACCATGCCCGCTAAATGTAAATTATACGGAGAAGCGATGAAATCGATGCTCTATCCTTCTCATACATGTATTCCCTGTATTATGAAATCTAAATCAATAACCGCTTCGTACACAAAAGTCATTATTGAATAAAATATATATTAAAAGTTTAGTTATTCAGATTTTGATTCAGATATTCGACAAAGCCCTCTGCAACTCTATTCATGTCTAACAATGTGCGCATCCTATTGATCGCTGTGAATTGTCGCCGTAGTCTACGAAGCTCGCTGAGAGTAACGACTCGTGTTGGGGGTAATTGAACTGGGATATTCGACAGAGGAGCTTTGATCTGCTTAGTGGGATCTCCTGATTTTTGAGCATCTAAGATAGCCTGAATGATATTCTGTGTTGTCTGGTCAAGTTCGTACAAATAATTTGTTTCTTGCACTACTTTCTATAAACATAATAAAAAATAAAAATATAAAAAAATAGCATCCAGTAAGACTCTTGTTAACTATTTCTTCAAAATAAAAAAAATAAGAAAATAAAAAATGTAAAAAAAAAGTTTTACCACCACAGTTGACAAATTTGGCGGCTTGGCTTTCCTCAAGATCACTGCATCCCAAATTTCTTCCTCTGGTAATTTATCTTCAGGTACAACAACAAATAATGGCGAGTCCCATTTCGTTCGCGAGTCTGGCTCCTCAAAACGCATAACTAACTCTTCAAATGTCTTTTCTGTGTATGCTCCCGAAGCAGCGTTCCATTGCCTTGCTACGTCTGGAAGACATCCACAAAAGATCTAGTGCAGGAAAAAAGCATTAAAAAACTCAACCAATTATTCTAAAAATGGCCTTGTCTTTTTAGGAATTAGGACGTGTTTTTTTGTTTACCACACAATGGGGGGTTCCAATCGCTCGGGCGACACAGTATAGTTGGTAGCGGAAACCCTTGATATAATTTAAGCTGTCAACAATGACGATGTCGTCCTTGGATAAAAGTCTCTCCACAGCTGACATAAGAGCTCCACGAGCCTTCTTTTCGTCTGCAGCGGTGTTGTATGAGACATGTTTATTTAAATTCAGCGATTCGTCATTGACAACATGAATGCGATATTCCTTTGTCCTTGTTGAGGATGTTAAATCATTGCTTAAAGTTGAGCCTCCTTCACCTGAACTTTGATCCCGAAGCTGAGCAAAACGAGTTTCAAAAAATTGTTTAAGCTCCTGCGCCCTCCTGGTTTTACCGCTAGAAGGCAATCCACTAAGAATCACTAAAGGCATCGTCGATTGTTGGTTGTTGCTCTTGTTGTTGCGGTTGCAGTTACAGCCTTGTTTTCAAAACGGATCATAATCACGTGTCACTATAACAACAGTTGAGTGACTCGATAGCGAACACCATAAAACTGAAAAACTATCTGGCGGGCATTTATTGAAGGAAAAAAAATAATTTAAAAACGTTACTACACGCCTGTCTACAGAAAGGTATATAGTGTCCCGCATCTAGTCGCGAAAAAATTTGGGAAAAAACCTTAATTTGTTGCGTTTTCACATCACCGCAGTCACATTGTTTATGAAGCACTCATGGCCGCCATTTTGGTGTTCATCTTCACTCTCTTCCAAAAAAAAAAAGCTCATTTCTCTACATATATACCTTTAAAAAATATCCTTTCTTCCTTTACACATCGCAAAATATCGAAATAAAATGGTTTACTTGAATAAAAGGAAGAGACAGTTGCAAGGTGCTCGACAGAAAAAAGTGCGGCGCAAATTGGAACAAGATTCAGAGATATCTTCTGGGAATTTGCAGACAGAAGCAGTGCTCCTATTCGAACTGAAATTTTGTCAATTGATATTTATTATTTTAATCTGAAACATCATAATTAACAAAGTTTCAGTTCGAATAGGAGCACTGATTGTGATTACACATTTGTATAAAGGACTACAAGAGACAGTACCAAAGGCTTTGAGCTCAGTGGATATTGTAAGCATTCGAAAATACGCAAGGAAGAGCTTCCGTTACATGGACGCATACCGAAAAAATATGTCTGGCCACGTTGCTGAACAACAGGTGAAAAAATATAAATCTCATAGACGCATTCCAGCAAACTGGGATTTAATGTGAAAATATAAATCTCACACCCTTAATAATGACCAAGATGTCATTGGAAATAAGGTTTTAGCCAATCAGAATTCGAGATTTATGTTGCGTTTTGCCCCTCACATATGAAACCAGTCTCTTTTTTTTTTGTTCACTCATGAAGAAGTCATTTCAACAAAAACTCTCTGTCTTGTCAAAGAAAAATGGCAAATAAATGGGATAACAGTGTTATATTTTTTCTGTAGTTCATTACCGGGCCTTGAGCAGATTTCCCTCCCATCCTATTTTTTCTCTGAAAAATATTCGTGACTAGGTGCGGGGCACTGTATTTTTGATTTTTTCCTAGAAGATGGGATAAAGTATTAAGACAATAAATAACTAAAAAGTAACTTGATCTTCTGTAATGTTTCTGACTTTTTACTTTTGTTACCTTCGGATGCGCTTTGCACTTCTTCACGCTCATCTTCATCGGCGTCTAATTGGCCGATCTCTCTGTTGCAGATCGAAGCAGGACTCAAGGCGAGATCCATGAAGACGAGTTGGGTCGATGGAAGCCGTATACCATTGACGAGATCATTTCCGACAGCGCCACTTCCAAAAGGGTCCTTAAGTCCAGAGATTGGCGCTGATTAGGACATAAAAGCGTAACCAAAAGCAATTAGCAAAAGGAATTGCAAGTTAGCCTTGCTTTCACTTTTTTCTCACCTTTTCTTTTTTGTTCGTTCATCTACAACGTTAAAAGCGTGACAGGCTTTCAGACATGACGATCATGACAAGATACCATGTACCGTGTTCATGCAATGGGTCATATCAGCACCAACGTTATGGTCAAAACTATAGATGCTGAAGACAAAACTTGGCCCCACCAAGCAATTGACTATATAAAAAGATGTCAAGCATGCCAACGGATGAATACTGCCAGGAAAGGATATCATCCACTAAAAACTATTCATGCACAATTACCAGGTGAACATATCGCGATTGACATAGCTGGACCATTCACAGTCTCTGAGAAGAACAATCCCTATTTGCTGATCATCGTTGATATTTGTACTCGCTATGTGTTGCTGGATGCCCTACCTGATAAGTCTGCTGTTACAGTTGCAGCTGTGCTGTTTAAGCGATTTTCAGACATCGGCTTCCCACGAGTCATTCAATCCGATAGTAAAGAATTTGTCAATCAGTTAATGGAAACCATGAGGTCACAAATGTTTATTGATCACCGTTTAATTGCTCCATATCACCCACGAAGTAATGGTGTTGCCGAAAACCATGTAAAAACTATTTGTCAAATGATCAGAAAACAGATCAGGCATGATAGTAAGCATTGGGATAATCATGTTCCATTTACTCAACTAAGTGTCAACACTCGAATTGTGAGTCTTCATAACTCCTCACCCTTTTCTTTATTTTTTGCACGAAAACCAAATGGCTTCAGTAACTGCACTGATGACGAAGGAAATCCAATGAATCAAGGAAAATTAATTCAGAGAACCAAATATATGACAGAAATAGTCTTCCCTGCAATTCGTAAAAAAGCTAAACAAACCCAGAAAAAGATGATTGAACGCCTCAATGCTACTGTAATTCTCAACGAATTTCCTGATGGAGCAAAAGTAATGACTCTTGACCCAATCCGTGGCGATAAACTTACTCCACATTATGAAGGACCTTACACAGTTGTAAACAAAAATTCTCATGGCTCCTGTATCCTTAACGATGGCACAGGTGCAGTTTTAGCCAGAAACTATGCCCCTTCTCAACTGAAACTTGTCCCTGATGACTTTGAAGATACTCCTACCTACGAAGTAGAAGAAATTATTGGCCATCGACAAAGTACTACATCCCCGCATGAGTATGAGTATCTTGTTAAATGGAAAAACTATTCGCATGATGACAATACATGGGAACCTGAAGAGAACTTTATTGAACGACAATGTATTGCTGAATATTGGGCCAATTATCATGCCTCAAAAGCCGTTACTACTGACTCTAAACGATCTCATAGCTCTCTATCAGAATCTTCTAACTCTCAACAGAGTGCGTCACAGGCATCTGATACTCTTCAAACATCTGTCAAAAATATGTCTCGACCCAAGCGTCGACACACGCGTCGTTAGACATATTATAAACTACATCAATCATAATAATACCAATAATAATATCCAAAATAATAAGAGCAATCAATATGCCAATCCAATGTCCTGAAGTGATAAGAAGACATGTATAAGCATGGCTAATTGAAAGCAACGCTAATATTAATGCCTGCATATTGAAGGAGTCATACAAAACTTAGTGCACTTATAGGTCCGTGCATGTTCATAATTAAAGGAAAAAAAAAAACAACACACTTTATTCAGCAACCCTGGCCTAACGGTTCTGTACACATCTTACAACAGTGCCGCTTTCTCTTGCAAGAGCTTGCAGCGAGGTGAGTCAACTTCGACTGTATCTAGTCCCTTGAGGACCTTTTGGAGCTGTCTCTCTGACATTTCCAGCATTGGCTCTTGACGGCTGCTCGACACTTCCGTCACGCCTTCAGTTTCTCATTCACTTTCCTATCCAGATGATTCATATTGATCACACATACTCCTCATTGATAATCCCTTCCATTTCCTTGCAATGACGAAAGGAGGAAGAAATTACCGTTCATCGGGATTGAACACATCAACACCTACAAATTATACGTTGCAGGGCGGCTGCCAAGGCTCAACAGTGCCGTAGAATCGCAAGTGCAGGAAATTACTTGCCTTGATTGTTGGCTGTTGTCCGAAGATCAAGCAATCTTGCGGATTATTGATATATGGTTGATGGTTAATGATTGGAAGAAAGAAAGGACGATAAAAAGAATGATAGAGGGAACTAGGCGGGTGACCCGTGGCTTCGCTCATGGTTGCACTAGCCAAGCGCTTTGTCTCGTGAGACTTATTTATCTCATTGAGTACCAACGTTTGAAGGCACTCGTCTTTGATAGAATCCCTGTAAACAATGAGGATACACACAACAATATCCCTTGATCTGTAACGTCGAGATTTTTTAGTATTCACGGGCAAAAGAGCGGTAATGCTCGAGCATACGAAAACTATGATTATCTCACTTACAGATTTGTGAAGGGAGTATCGATCTCCCAATCATTGTTGCCTAAGCACTTAATAGTTCTAATGAATAAACTCCTCGCAGTCCCCGCTGCTGCCATTCTGAGTTTAAACTTCTCAGGCTGCATTTGAGATGACATGTGTGCACACCCCGTCAATATGTTCGGTACCAACCGCATAACGATCAAATGCACCACACATCTACAGTAGTACTTTAACCGTAGCAGGGCTGATTCGGGGAACTGGTGCGGTTGGCATGGTGATAGCATGCCCTGACGGGATATCTATGAATACCAACAGTCCCATATCCTAGCAATTTAGCCTAATACTATTGCTGTTAGAGACAAAGACTTGAGCCTACAGTCAATCGATCTTTTAAAGTCTTGAATAACAAACCATTTTTAGATCAATATGGGAATTTGGCAATATATCTCTAGCAAAAAGGAACCGGAAAGGCATTTGTTTCCCTTTAGGCTGGGGAAGAAGGAATGAAGATGGTAAACGTTGCTAGTTGTGTAAAGAAGTGGAGGCAAGTGAATGGTTGACATAGTGCACTTTGATGATATAGCTTAAGATATAGTTTTTGCTGTATGATTTTATTGATTGATTTTTACTGATTGTTTACCTTCCTTGGAATGCAATAGACGGCTGCTTTCTGCTAGAAGAAAGCACAGAGAACTAGATCTGACCTACCCATGGGCTGGCGAAAGCTAAATGGGCAAATTTACCCGCTTTACAGTCCAGGGATAAACTAAGATAAAGCCCAAAGAAGTACCAAGATCTTGACCTTTGCGCCACCAGCTTGTGTTCTAACTTTTTTTTTAAAACGCATAGACGGATTGGTCTCATGAAGATTTTAATAAAAACCATATATCAACACGGCTACTTAAAAAAAAAGACGTATGAGATTTCAATTTCTTAATAGCCACGTCTCTCAACACCCATGGCACGAAAAGATTCCACGCCTTAAAGTTCCAACTAATTTAATCATGCCCGTGTACCGATGGTTGAAGGAACCCATCATTAAGACCTGGCTATGTCATGGGGGCCATGGACGGCGTTTGAAGGAACACATCATTGGTCTGACCATTTTTGGGAGGGTATAAAACGCATTCATTCAAAGCCCGTGATTTTGTGTAATGTCCTGTGCGATGGCCGCAATGTTAACAAAGTCATGAATCCTTACGACTTTAGTATATCAGGCGGCTTTAATTGAACGGAGTATTGCAAGCTACAGAGTAGCCTTGCTGCTACGGTCGGCTGAGATTAAGCTTACTGTCCTACAGCTCTGTTCGAAAGAACAACATCTCTCTTCTCTGTTTTTTTAGGCCACCAGTCTGAGGTTGAAACCACGTGCAACGAATGAACGTGCTGCAAGGTGGAATTGTCTATTGAGGGAATTAGTAGCCGCTCTTGCCGAAGCTTCTTACTCAGGCTAAGGATAAACATTAGTTATTAGCTGGGATGCTGCAAAGCTAAGTTTTCTTGAAGTCGAAAAATATTTGGGAGTTCATTTGTCCCAACCGTCAAAAAAAATTTTTTTTGAAAAGATGCTGCAATTTTTTTTTCTTGCCAAATGTTATTGAATCCGCGTACCATGAGTACTATCCTGTCCTCACACTTTAACATGAATAACAATTACTATATACATTCACTATTCTCACGCTCTTTTCTCTTCTCTTTCTCACCCTTACCAACACTCTTGCATCCTAATTTTGCTATTCAAAAAATAAAAAATAAAGTTTAAAAAATAACCGTAAGAAAATAAGCAACAAAAATGAAATTTGTAAGATATAATACCAAGCAGAAGATAAATATCGATCAGACGCTGGCTAAGATCTTCCAGATAATGGAAAAATGCAGGCTTACTCTCAGGGGCTTTCTAAAAGCATGCTTCGAGCCGAACAACTCAGGCGTGAATTTGCAGTATCCCAGCTAACTATATGTCTTGATACTAAGCTTAAGGAGTAATTAAACTAAATAGAGTTCGTTTACTCAAGGAAAAACCTCACCAGGGGGCTTACAGTGGAAAAGTACATGAGTTGGAGGACAGCACGTTCTCCAAGAGTAGTTACTGATTTTCCAACTCTATCAAAAAGGATTCCGGCCGCAAAGCCTGCGTCCCTAACAATGATGTGGTTTGCAAAAGTAAAAAGGTAGTTGACTGAGAATCTGTTAGTGGTCCAGAAGGCCTTGACAATTGGTAGGTGTCCTTAAAATAAAACTTTGTTCTCACTTGTCGTAGATGCTCAGTTCCCATCGGTCGGTGATTTTTTCGCAAATTAATTTTTCATCTTTTCGACTTGTCGCAGGCGCTCTTTGTCAAGGAAGATCCTGATGTGCTTCAGAAATGTTAAAATTTTATGCGTGATTCCAGATGAAATTGACTCTTCACTTTTGATTAAAATATCACATTCGAATGTCCCTATTACAAAGTGCTTGCCATCACTCCTTTCCATTGTAATCGGGCGAACCCTGAAGAAATGGTCTTCACCGACTGTCTTTGGCATGAACGTTTTTTTGGGGACATGCTTTACTATTCTTGTTTGCTCGTGATGGGGATTCTGAAGTCTTTTTCTTCCATAGACCTCCACCTCGTTAACGAAGAGGAATGATCCACTCCTTGGACTAAAGAGCGGCACCCCTGATAACAAACAGCTTGCAACCCGGCGAGCCTGAGGCGGTTGTTCCCACTCAATATTCACTGCTTACTTGTTGAATTTGTCATTTTCATGAAGGACCTTTGATTGATAATTTTTGCAGATGGTGATTGGCGTAGGATTCCTCCGATTGATGGAAGAGCTGCCCCAGATTGTTCGCTCTGCTGTATTTCCCATGGAGGCAAGTATCCTGGAGTATGGACAGATTTATTAACGAAAGCATGAACAGGCGCTGTTGGAAGCGAATCGTACTTTTTTAGACACAAGAGCATCAAGCTTACATCCAGAAATCGAAATTCCCATTGGAAATTGCCTAATTCTGTCTGAAAAGTACAACGTCTTTTACTTTCCTTTTCTGACGCTGATTCCTGTCCACATGCATGTATTAGAGCCTCGTTGAATGGACGCCAAGCCTGAGGTAGCCGAGCTGACTGAAAGGATGGGACATAGTGGGCTTTTGAATCTCATTTGGCCTCATAACGCACTTGACATGCTTTGGTTTCCAACAAATGTTTTCGGAAGCCAGATTTCGTTGCAAATGTGGCTCCATACTCCTTGCAGTGAAAATGACCATCTCTACTTATAACCACACAGTTCTTCCCCAGGGCAACAACATCATCAACGGTGTGACAATCAACGACGTGAGCAGTGCGACCTCGAAAAGACTCAAATTTTTTCTCCGAACAAAAATCACAAACGATCTCCTTATCATCCAAAGCACCATCTCCAGGCCCAACATCAGTGCTCTCAGGAAACACCGTAGTTGAGTCTTCGTTTCTTTGAGCAACGCCTAAAGAGAAATAAAATACTGTAAGTTCGCGTGGCCAACAAGAAAAACCCCTGCGTGGATAAGCTGCGTTAATAATTAAGGAAAGGATTTCTTACATCAAACTTGTTAAGTTTTTTTGGTTGCCGCAGCAAGAGCGAAACAACTGTTGCCGAGAAAGATATAAAAGAGAGAAGAGAGCTATAGTCCTTGCAGAGAGCAAAAAACGGAGGAAAGTATGACAGTGGTGCAGAGAGAGGAAAAAAAGAGAGAAGAGGGGATAGCGACAAGGTGGGTGCAGACAATAAAACGTCTTGAGAACAAAATTTGTATGTGGCCCATTTTTTGCTCCAAATGTAATGGTCATGCAATTAGGGAAAAGAGTCATTTAATTAAAAAAAAAAAAAAAAAAAAAAAAAAGGATGTGAAAACACCACGTGTCTTCATTCTCCTTTTACATTCTCCAGGCTGAAGGAATGTGCACTCCAATTTTTCCTCTCGTCTTTGCGCATCCATCATGGGCGTTTTGAATCGTGAACACGACATTCAGTCATATGGCTATAAGGACGATGGCTTTCCGACAAAGACTTCAGAGCAGCAGGTAAAAGAAAAAAATATTAACTTAGTTAATATAGTATTCCGGCGCAGGCATCTGACCCAATCGCTCATCTCATGCACCCTATCCATAGGTGGAAACGGAAGAAAGCATCTGCAACGCATATTTCGCGTACACGCAAGAGAGCCCTATACCGAAACCTATTGCTAGTATCGAACTTCGCAAATCACGTCATGTCAAGTTCCTCCTTGGTGCCTTGGACCGTCTTGCCAGTTACTGGGTAGCATTGGATGCTGCTAAACCATGGCTCTGCTACTGGATCCTTCATTCACTCGATATTTTAGAGTATAAGATCCCTGACCAGATCGCACAACGTGCTATCTCCACTTTGAAGCATCTGCAATGCGAAACTGGTGGATTCGGAGGTGGGCCAGGTCAGGAGGCTCATTTGGCACCAACCTATGCAGCCGTCAACAGTTTGGCCATTATTGGAACCAAGGAAGCCTATGATATAATTGATAGGCCTAAGCTTCTCGAGTTTTTAATGCGAGTCAAACAACCAGATGGGTCGTTCAAAATGATGGTTGGTGGTGAGATTGATATCCGAGGATCGTATTGTGCGATGGTTGCAGCGACATTAACCAACATTCGAACAGCAGAATTGGAAGCTGGGGTCGCAGAGTTTATAGCTAGTTGTCAAACTTATGAAGGCGGTTTGGGGAGCTACCCTGGCGTTGAGGCTCATGGAGGATATGCGTTCTGTGGATTGGCAGCGTTAGAATTGATGGGTCAGACAAATATATTAGACCAAGAGGCATTTCTGAGATGGAGTGTCAGCCGTCAAATGTTGTTAGAGGGTGGATTCAATGGCAGGACTAATAAGCTGGTAGATGGGTGTTATTCATTTTGGGTAGGGGGTTTGTTTCCGATCATTGGCAAGATGCTAGAAAGCCAAGGTCAGGAGTATAGCACACTGGATTTCATATATGATCGAGGTAAAAAAAAAAAAAAAAAAAAAAAAAAAAATCCAGAAAAGCGACATTACGTGTTCTTTACCTAATGTGTAGTCAAATTAATTGTTTACTAGATGCGCTACAAGAATATATATTAATTGCATGCGAAGCTAAAACTGGTGGCCTTCGTGACAAACCCACAAAGTATACAGCCTTGTCTCAAATGTATTCTCTACGAAGACAAGATTGAAGAATATATCTAACACTTGGGCTATTTCTCATCAACTTTAGATCCCCCGATTATTACCACACATGCTATTGCTTAAGCGGTTTATCATTATCCCAACACCATATCTCCTTCCGCCATGATCTAAAGGAGATTGCGCCAGGTGCTCTGTCAAGTTTGCTCTGGACAGAAAATTCAAATAAGCTTCGAGTCGTGGGCTCTTCTAAGAATATGGTTGAACCTACTCACCCGATCTTCAACATTCGTTTGGAGAGTGTCAGGAAGGCATTTGTGTATTTTTATGGCAAGGCTGCAGAAGACGTCATTGAAGAAGTGGATATTGAAGTTGTTCGTCACTAGGATCATTTTATCATAAGATATGTTTTTTTCCCTTTGAATTTATTCTTGTTTTGAGAGCTGAAATAACGAATTAAGCACGGAATACTTGAAGTATGCGCTCAACGTATTTTCGGCAAATCGGGCAAACTCGCTCCCTTTCGATGACTTGCTTGCCACTTCAAAATAAATCATCCAATTAAAAAAAAAAAAAAAAAAAAAAAATTAGTGGTATGACTTTTTTTTTTTTTTTTTTTTTTTTTTTTCAATGTACAGCACAATATCATACCAATCCATGCAAGATGACATATGACCACAATTGAGCATAACACAATTCAATGGTCCGTCAAAACAGATCTTGCAGAGGTTCTCGTCTATATTTGTAGACGACGGTTCATGAGGCTTTGTTGTCTCCAATGCTGACGCGTTTTCGATGTCAATATCTGATGAATCCCAGGCCTGATTTCTCGTTTCTTGACTCGCATTTCTTTCCTCTTTATCTCTCTTTACAGTCTGGATCAGGCTTTTTAGCAGGCCAACTAGTTCATGCTTTTCAAACATACCCACATGACTGACACGGTTGGAGTCCAACAACGACTTGATAACTTTGACAGACAGCTTTGATATGTCCACATCTGGCGAGATAATGTCCTCTAATGTCAGATTCGCAGCAAATGTCTCCTCGGATGATTCTTGAGGCCTCCGTGGCGGCTTGACAGGCCGTGATGAATATGATGGCTCAGAAGACGACGAAGCAGGTGTGATATGGGACTCTGAAACGCCTGTTGGGAAGCTAAAAGTACTAGCACTACTGCTTGAGCCAGATGAAAACCGGAATTGTGGGCTAGAAGATGATGAGTCAGAAAAAGTAGGTAATGAATAAAACCCTGTATTGGCAGTGTAGTCATTGAATCCTTGGGATGGACGTGGCCTTGTCTGTCGCTGGTTTTGCGATTGTGGCATTGGATTGGGTCTAGAGCTGGAGGCTGGTTGAGGCACAGATGCAGATGACGAGGATGATGACGAGGGTGATGTTTGTTGACTCTTAAGTGGTGGTTTAGGCTCATAGCAAGTATAGCCAAACCCATTTCGGGAATTGGAAGAGGTTCCAAATGTTGGCTGTGGACTAAGAGGTGGTATTGTCGACGAAGCCTGAGGTTTGGCCTCATGATGGGGCCGTTGCTGGCGATGTTGTTGCTGGAACTGCTGTTGGTGTTGCGCTGTGAATGGATTTGGAGGCGGGTGTTCTGCCTGATGATAGGACCCAAAGCCTCCATTAAATCTGAACTGAGGTTCCCGGGAGGACCCAGTTTGCGAGTGCTGCGAATGGGTAGGGGAAGGGAACGTAGATCCAGGATGATAAAATGGATAGCCATCCGCTGGTCGGCCAGACATATGGGCTCCAAATGGACCCGTACCAATACCAGAGGCCCTAGGCATAAAATCCTCAATATGTGGTCTAGGCTTTTGAGGACTTGGGCCTGGTTGAAAATGAAAATGTGACGATCCGAGAGAGAATGGTGGGGTATTGTTGGGCGCCTCCCGTGGTTTTGGTTGTTGGCTTTGCTGTTGTTGCCTCTGGGCCTTCTGTTGACTCGGCTGTTGACCCTGGGCCTCAGCAGAGGAAGAGGATGTTGATTGGGATTGCCTTTCCTGGAAGATGCTTTCTGCTGTAGTGTCGGGGTGCCTACGTTGTCTGGAGTCATCACTGCTGAACATCCTAGAGAAGAACTTGTCCAATTCATTGATCAGATTATCTGACGTGCCCGTCAAGTCATTTGCCCTCGGAAGCACTTCATGAAGCACTAGCCACTCTTCGACCGTACTTGGCATTTGTGTGCGGAAGTAGACCTCCGACGCATCTGATAAAGGCTTGTTATCCTGGATAGCCTTCACCAATTCTAAATTGCAGACCACCATAAAGATTTTGTCAATCTCTCATGAGATATGCGTAAGATTGTACAGCTGAAGCGCTATCTAGTAATATTGGAGTTGTTTGACTGCTCCTAACCTTGTTTTTCTAGCATGTTGGCCGTTGAGATATTGTATGCATCTAAGTAACGCTTGAGTGTCCGGATATTGAGCTTGCTCAGCTTCGCATCCTCTAGTTTGTAGACTAAATTGCAAAGAAACAGTGTCGAGGTCTGTAGTCGCCCATTTGTTGTCCCAGCCTATACAGGCCACTCATTCTCACTATCCCAAAAACGAAATATAGAATCTTTTGTCTTCACACGTCAAAACTATTTGTTACCTTGTAGAAAGTGAGCACAGTACCCACAGCATCGTACATCTCTATCGAAAGTACAAAATATATGTATTCAGTTATTTCTAGAATAATCGTCTTTCAAAACAGCAATGACGTTTGCTATCCTGCTGGTTAATCGGACCTGAAGTGACCGAACTTCAGTAGCTCTGTTTTGTAATTGCAGCAACTGATACATGCCATGACACCGCAGTTGTGGCAGTTAGTCTTTCTGATCCGGTGCAGACTCGAGCCGCAGCGCTCGCAGTTGCTGGACTGGTGCATCTTAGGAGGCGTCCACTGACTTCTGTTCTCCTTGGCCATTTGTTTTTCCCACACCGTCTTTTTTTTAAATGAAGGTAAAGTAATGACATGTAATCATTTCAGTAAACCATGACTTTGATTGTGGCAGTGCCAATTGAAACCTTTGCTGCTGTGCCTCAGAACAAACTACAAATTTGATTGGTCCCAACCAAAGTAGTATTTTTCTTTAATATTTTGTACACAAGGTTTTATTAAGCATGTCCATTCTTATGCCAAATGTTCCTTTGCTCTCACCCGCTATGCTGCGCATCGTTATTCTAATGATCCAAGAGCATTTGTGGATGCGTCTTCATCAAGTTCGTTGCGACGCGTTATAATAATCTTGTCTACTAGAACACAATCCGCGTTTCTTTAGTTAAAGACGAATAAGAGAAATCAAGCATAATTAGGCTAATACCCCGTGAATTTTTTTTATCACTTGTAGTGTTCGAGTTGGATCGGGGAAGTAGCTCAGAAACAGGGACAGAGTAGCGGTTTATCTCAGGAACAAAATATGCACCAAAAAAAGAAAAGACAAAGTTCGTTTCAGAGCATTAAAGTTCCGACAACCGATTTGGAATGGGTAATAATGATGACGACGCTGGCATACCATACACATATAATACAATACTCCAGCCACCCGTGGTTATATACATCAAACAAGTTAGGACTCTCCGGGGTTTGGTCCGCTGCTTTCTATGCGCTTATACCCTCTCTTTCTTTCATTACTTGAATGAATGATGACATAACTAAATGTCTATGTTCATGCATACATATAGTGAAAATGGAGTAGTTTATGCGATATTAATACATATATATATATACATGGACTACCATTAAACACTTAAACACATCTTTTAATTTATATAATATAGCGAGCGTATGTATATATTATTGGAATGAGAAAACCAAGCCAGCGATGAATATAATGGCCTGATCTGTTCTTCCAGGTCCCTGCCCGGATTGAGCTGAGTCTAGTATGGCGTTTCTTCTCGCGTGCTTTCATACTTCTCATTGGATACTTAGTGCGGTGAATTATCCTCCTCTTATATCAACACATCCATGTTTATCGATACAGATTAGGCCCTTGGCAGAGCAAAGCGCTTATTAAGTGATCTTTATATCTTTGACCTTACTTCAATTTCCTAGTTATCGCATGGCCTACCGCCATAATTTTACCGTATCCGGTTAATCTCAGTTTAAGCTCAAGGCGCGAATAGTCCCACTTCTAGCTCGCGTTCCCCTGGCCACGGCACTTGAACTCTGATCGTTAGGAAATCGTGATGGGCACGGGTACATACAAATCAATTAATTGCTAAGGCCATGCTACAATCCAGAAGCTTGAGAAAGATGCAGTATTCACACTCATATCCATAATTATAAAAAGGAGTACCTCCCACCTATTATCCATTTTTTTTTTCTATCTTCATCCACCATTGTAGTTGCTTTATACTTCTTAGTTTTTGCACTATTCTACGCCCCATCTAACCATTTCTCGAACCCAATATGGCTCCTGTCTTCTCCTTTGTACTTGTAACTGCCTCACTCGTTTGTGCCATGGCTGCTCCTTCTACGCGCAACTTGGAAGGTGCTGCTGTCAGCACAAGTTACACTGGCCTCGGCAAGATCTACAACGACTACGCTATCCGTGGTGCTTGTCCTGATATGAATTATTCTGCCCACGATGCTTTTGCTACTGTCAACGCTGCTCAGTTTGGCAGTGTCAAGGATGGTACATCTGCCTGCGGCAAGTATGTCAAGGTCAACCACGCCGATACACCCTCCAAGCATTACATTTACAAGATCGTCGACTATTGTAAGCACTGTAATAATGGTGAGCTCGGCCTTTCTGAACCAGCCATCAGGGAGCTCACCAACTCGAGCCATGCTAGGATTGACTGGGAGATCATCAATCATAAAGATACCTCAGAGAACAGTGAGCTCGTAAAGGCGTTCAGTTACAATAAGAAATCTAAATCCACCAAGAAGAGCGTCAGCAAGAAGAGCAGCCACAGCCACTATAGGTGGCGCTATCGCGGCCGCGGTACCTGGTTCAGCGATACTTTTGGCTCTTGTGGCGAGCGTTTCTCTCAGAATGACATGATCGTTGCTTTGAACGAGGCTCAGATGGGTAAGATGTGGGGGCCTCGCTCCAAGTGTGGCGCCAAGATCCGTGTCACCGCTAGGGGATCCTCTAAGAGTATTGTTGTCCGTGTGGTCGATACTTGCCCTCATCGTTTCTGCAGCTATGGCCAACTGGACCTATCTCAAGCTGCCTTCAAGCATTTCGCCCATAAGGACAAGGGTATTCTAGATCTCAGATGGAAGTTTATCTAAACAATGGAAAAGCCCGAGGAAGCCAAACTGCAGCCTGATTGCTTCGGCTGTTAAGTTTAGAGCATATTGATATATCCCTGTTCAACCTTTTCCAAACAGTTCCAGTCCACCTAACCCCAACGTGATTTAGAATAGAGCATCCGCATAAACTCATTTGTATATAGCCACAACGCAATAAAAAGCACGATCATTCCTTCAAAGGCCTCTGATTCTAATATATTACTATCATAATAATGAGCTGTATTGCTTGGTAATATTTATTGGCGTCTCGTGGGTTTGCGTTCTGGGACTACGTTTATGAGTCCCTTAATATTTGTACGCGACTTACTTTGTTGCCATATTGGGAAGTTGTTTCAGTCAGTGGCTTTTATGACACGCGCTTCTTTTTTTATGGCGATACTCTTGTTTGAGCAATACTCATTTACCAACTGCATCTTTACTTTACGGACAATATCAGGAACAAACTACAGGCTTCACACAAGTCTTTTTCTTCTTCCTTTCCTTTTCCTTTTCCTTTTCTTTTTACAGCTTTTTATTTTGCGTGTTTTTTTTTTCTTGGAACTGAAAGAAAGCGTCATCAATAGTTAATAGGTAGCAATTGGCGACCTCTCCAACACACACTCATCAATATATAATTGTAGCCAACCAAAAAGATTTTTTAGGAAGAGGAGCAAATTTCAACTAGTAGGATTTTCTTTTCTCTTCATTGCAGGAAACAATGTCGATGTATACACTTGCCAAAGAGCTTTTCCCGCCAACAGGGATTGAGCGAGTGGTCCGCTGCAACTTTGTACGACCAGACGTTCTCAATGTCATCGTTTCAAAGTCAACGGTCTTGGAGATCTACAATTTCACCGAGCCAGCACAGGCTGATCAGCTGCCCCGGTTGGAATTGGTAGCAAGCTATCGAATGAACGGGAGTATCACATCCATGGGTGTTATTCGAACAAGTTCCTCGGGCCAACATGGACTGGACAGCATCCTGGTCAGCTTCAAGGATGCCAAGGTTTGTTTACTCGCTCTAGTCTCAGCCTCTCTCCGACTTTTCGCACCATCGCCTTACGACTCAGTTGTTATTACTATCTACGAGAAAGAAATTGAAGATGGGAATAAGGATAAGGAAGGGAAGGAGAGAGAGCGCAAATATGGGATGAAATCTCTAATAAAGCGCCATTTATTTTTTCAAAACTATGTATCTTTTTTTTTTCAATGCATTTTCTGGTTACTTTAAACCTGTTCATAGATGTCCTTGTTGGAATGGTCATTTTCGAATCATTGTATTGTCACGGTCTCTATCCATTATTATGAACGTGATGATTACAAGGTAAAAAGAAAATAAAATAAAAATAAAGGAAGGGAAAAAAAAAAAAAAAAAAAAAAAAAAATTGATCAGTTTGTCAACAATTTTTTATTTTTCATTGCGCAACGTAGCAAGAATTCTTGAATAATTCGCACCCAACAGAAATCCGTGTCGATCCCTCGCGACGATGTGCTGTGCTTGCATTTTATGGAGATAGGCTCGCAGTACTCCCATTTAGGCAAGATGAAGTCGTCATTGGCGACGAAGACGATGCGTCAAAGTAAGGACAAATATCTTCATCCTTCGAAATAAAGGAAACAAGCAGAAAAAATGTATATCTGTAAATCTTGGATACCGGATGGACTGCGAAGCTAAAAGATAATTCCTCTGAATTCTTTTTTTTTTTTTTTTTTTAAAAAAAAAAAAAAAAAAGAAAATGGCCATACATGCCGAGCTATGTGATGACCTTATCCGACATTGACTCCAAGATCAAGAATCTCATCGATATGGTTTTTCTTTATGACTTTTATGAACCAACTCTTGCAATCCTCTTTTCTCCTGAGCAAACATGGACCGGGTATGTCGTTAGAACATAATTTACATAGAAGTATGATCCACAGTGAAATAAGGATGTGTCTAGTCTATCTTTCTCTTTCTAACTCTTTTTTATCCCTATTGTTTAGTCGTCTTGCAGTGCGCAAAGATACATGCTCATTGGTTGTAGTATCTCTCGACATCACGCATAGAGTTTATCCCATCATTTATTCCATCGACAAATTACCATATGATTGTACAAAGGTGATCGCAGTCCCCAAACCTGTAGGCGGACTCTTGATTGTTTCGGCAAATGCGCTTATTCATCTGGATCAAGGGTCAACAGGCGTGGGTGTAGGTTTAAATGCTTATGCGCCTATGGTCACTGATTTTCCGCTTCAATCCCAGCATCACTTCGACATTGCGCTGGATGGAGCAGAGCATGTATTCCTGGCACCAAATCAAATACTATTTACGCTGAGGAATGGGGAAATGTACGTTGTTGAACTTCAGCAGGAAGGGCGATCGCTCTCTGGGTTTAAAATCGAAAAAGTGGGGTCAAGTATGCAAACGTCATGCAAGTGCTCCTTAGGTCTCGGATATTTTTTTGTCGGATCAAGATATGCGGATTCCATGCTGATCAAATACTCTACCAAAGACCAGGTCAAGGTATTTAGAGAAGGTCAGCAAGAAGCTCTTTTACTGTTTATTCATTAATTTTACTTAAGTCATCTGCTCTTTTTTTTTTTTTTTTTTTTTTTTTTTTTTGGAATTATATATAGAAAAAAAAAAAGAGTGCAGTGATCCCTATCAACTCTATGGATCTAGAAGACGGTAGATTTTATAGCAAAAACCATGATCATCCATTTTGGTCTCATATTTCTTTGACAACATTTCTTAGGCAATAACAAATATTGTCAATGTGTGTTATTAAATCTTTAGAACTCTATGGACAAGATGTGGAAACTGTAATCGATCAACAGGCAGACAAGTCAAAGGACGAGATGGAATCAGCTATGGATGCAGGAGAGTCAAAATGGCAGTTCGAGATATGTGACACTCTGACTAATACGGGTCCAATTCTCGGCTTCGACGTGGGACAGCGTGCAAGCAATGAATTGGTATGACCTTCATGAAGAATAGCCGATACCTCAACAGGACCTTTTTTTATTAAAGGGAATGAACATTGACATGTATATGTTCCTTCCTTTGTAGCACTCGGAATTTCCTCCGCAGCATGAACTCGTGGCAGCAACCGGTACAGTTCAAAATGGAGCGCTTGTTGTCTTTCAGGTAAGCTCTAATGTACTGGATTTTTTTTCTTTCGATATTCCATATAGAGCGCAGAGTTTTAACCTCATGTTTTGATGAAATAAATAATAATAAATAATAATAATAATAATAAAATAAATAAATAAATAAAAAAAAAAAAAAAAAAAAAAAAAAAAACTTAGAGAAATATTCGACCGAACGTCATTCGATCCACAGATGCTCTGAAGGGGACCAAGGCTTTATGGACAGTATATTGTCGCAAAGAGATCATTTTTGAAGGGGTTTCACAGTTTGAGAGCCGCAAGGTAACGACAGCAGGAGATGAATCCGATGAAAATTACGATAAGCTGATGGTTGTCTCTATGGAGAGAGCTACAGACCAAGGCACACATAAAAGTACACTGGTATGTTATTTTGAAATGTGTAACAGACCCATTCATTTTTTTTTTTTTTTTTTTTTTTTTGTTCGTGGCTAACCAGAAATAACATGCTCCTAAAATGTTCGGCTTTAGGTACTGGCTACCTCGGGAGATGATCTACGGCAGCTTCCCAATTCCCAATTTTACTCAGAGGGACCTACTATCGCCATTGGGTCTTTTTTGGATGAAACGAGGATTGTACAGGTTTATGCTAGTGGCGTTCGTATTCTCAATGCAGGTAAAAATCGATATAAGAAACTCTTTAAAGCCTGTTGAACAAGACGACTCAATTTAGATCTTTATTTTTTTCCCCAGCTATGTTTTGATTATTTACTCACGCGAGAACTACTTTGTTTACTAATCAAAATTCCATATAGACTGTAAACTCAAGCAACTTGTCCCGATTGGGGAACATCTTTCCATTGTGGCTGCTAGCATTGTTGACCCATACATCCTACTGCTGCTTCATAATGGCTCAGCACTCCTCCTTAAAGGCGATATGGCCACCAAAGATGTAACCATCCTCAGCCAATCCTCTGTTCTCAATGTAATGGCAGGCAAGCATCATGTTCCTGTTGAGATGTATTGATTGGTGTTCAATTTCTTTTTTCTCTCAGCTCTGACTTTTTTTTCTCTTTTATGTATCAGAGCATCCCTATCAAAAGTTGCTGTATATACGCAGACACGACGAGCACTATACTGACTGTCAAGGAAGCGCCGACGATGGCCTCTCTTAGATCGAGCGCAACTAGAAATACATTGGCTACTGTCAGTACAGTGAAAAAAAGGACCAAGAAGCAGAAGAAAGAAGTCCCACGAATCATCGATGATATTGACTTGGACCTTTATGGACCTGAATTGGGCGAAGGAAGAGAGGAAGAAGAAGAGGAGGTCGAGGAGGAGGATAGGGATGTTGAGATGACGGGACCCGCACCGACTGAGACCAATGCAAACGGGGATATTCCTTTGGATAATGTTACTATGGATGGCGTCCAATCTACAGCGAAGGCAGCTATGGCAAACCCAGAAGGAGAGTCAGTTCAGGCTACACATTGGTGTATTATCTATAGAACGGACGGAGCTTTTGAAATTTATCAACTACCTGATTTCAAGGAGGTATTCTTCTTCCCTCACTTCGATCTCTTACCAGAAGTGTTGTCAGACGCGCCTGCACATCAAGATACCAAGCCTGCTGGGCACGCACGAGAGATTTCAGAGCTGATTATGGTCAATATGGGGGAAAAGGATGTAAAGAAAGTCTATCTTGTGGTAAGTGAAAAAGACTGTACTTGTACGAGTCTATTTGAATTCTATTTGTAATATCTAGCTCATTTCGCCTTGCTGTATCCTACTGTTGTTAATAAATAGGTTCGAACGTACCGCGGCAACATCGCGGTTTACAAGACATACCAGCACTTCCCAACAATAGAGCTAGATGGTGCCGGGAACCCTATTGACCTTTCAGATCGCCTTGCTATTCGCTTCAGGAAGGTACCGATAGATGTGGTAGCAAGGGAAACTCCTGACGAGGATGAAGAAACAACTATACCTACCACCATGGAAGGTGACAGCGCAAAAGCTATTGAACGAGAGATTGCAAAGCAGGAGAGGAGGAGGCAGCAAAAACCCAAACACTTGATCCCATTTACAGATATATCAGGATACGAAGGCGTCTTTGTCCTAGGGGCTTCCCCAATGTGGATTATGGGTGGTGGAACAGGGCTACCAAGAGCGCATCCTATGATTTGTGATGGGAAGGTTGTATGCTTTACACAGTTTCACAACTTGAATTGCAAGCATGGTTTCATGATGCTTAATGCAAAGGTAACAAAAAACAATCTAAACACAATGCTGCCTTAATACTCCAAAACCTATAGTAAAATATGAGAGGCTTTTTTTTTTTTTTTTTTTTTTTTTATTTTTTTTTAATTTTCTACTACTTTCTGATGCGATGTCCGGATATAGGGTGATCTAAGGATCAGTCAGCTTCCTTCTGAGGGCATTCATTATAATATGCCATGGCCTATTCGCAAAGTGCCACTGAAAAGAACTGTGCGACATATCCGGTATCATCCGACCTCTCAAACATATGTCGCTGTAACGGCCGTACCGGATCCTTTTGTGATCAAGGATGAAAACACTGGTGCACAAGACCCTACGAACCCCAATCCCTTTGGCGCTGCTGACACCAACAAGCCCGTAGGTTTAGAAGCGGCAGCAGCAACCTCTATGGCAGATTCTCCTTCTTTCCAAAATGGTAATGCAGACCCTGGCAATCAATCCAAACCCAAGTCTGTAGCTGGTTTCCATCCTCTTGCAGAGAGACAGACATTGGAATTGATTTCGCCCGTCACCTGGGAGACTGTGGACCGATATGAGCTGAACGAATATGAGATCGTGACGAGCATTGAGACTGTCAGTCTAGAATCAAGTCAGGATGCTTCCGGGCGCAAAATGTTTATCGCTGTGGGGACATCGTACATCAAGGGCGAAGACTCCGCCATGCGGGGGACGATCTACATTTTTGACATTATTGACGTTGTTCCTGAACCGGACAATCCACAGACGAACCATAAACTGAAGTTGCTGCGGACTGAAAACGTGAAAGGCGCTGTTACGGCGCTGGCAGCTTTGTGTGGATACCTATTGACGTGTGTTGGTACCATGCTATTTGTTCGTAGTTTTGAGGATAATGAAACATTGACGGGCATCGCGTTCATGTTTGTGCAGATCTATGTAACAAGTGTCAAGGTGGTTAAGAACACCATCATGCTGGCAGACGCCTATAAAAGTGTGTGGTTCGTTGGCTTTCAGGTAAGCACTTTAGTCTTTTTATCTTTTATTTTTTCTTTTTCTTTTTTCTTTTTTTTATTTTTTTAAAAAAAAAAAAAAAAAAAAAAATGAACGAATGATAAATGACAGAAAGTCTTCTAAATATCCAAAATTGCCTTTTAAAACCGTGTCATTTGTTAGGACGAACCACCTAAGCTAGTCCTGTTGGGCAAGGACTACAATCCAATGGAAGCCATGAATGTAAGCTATCTAATTGAAAACCAGTCGATGAATATAGTGGTCGCTGATTCTGAGAAGAACATTCGCCTGTTACAGTATGCCCCGTTCAGTAAGTGAAAAAGCTTGTCAGCTCTTTATACGTATTTGTTTATTTAACTTTTTCTTTGATTTTCCTACAATGAGTTTCTATAAATTCAACTTTACTTGAATTGATTTAGCTATATCACTAAACAGTAAATCTCTATCCTCATTAGATGTGCAATCATTTAGTGGTCAGAAGCTGATTTGTCGCGGCGACTACCATGTGGGTTCGCAAATTGAATGTACGATATCTGTTCCAAAGATTGTGTTGAGCGGCTCAGATGAAGGGATCAGTCATTTGACTATATGTGGAACTCTGGATGGTGGACTTTGTATGATCACACCAATTCCAGAAAAGACAAGCAAGCGCCTCGCACTGTTGAGCACCCAGATTGTGAATGGAGTCCAGCAAGCCGCAGGGTTGAATCCACGTTCATTTAGGCTATTACAGTCAAAGGATCGACTTAACTATAACCCCGTGAAGAGTATTTTAGATGGCGATTTATTGTTTGAGTTTATCAACCAGCCTGCAAATAGGCAGAAGGAAATGACCAAGCAGATTGGAACAGGCGTGGATCGGGTGATGGATGATCTAGCGGGTATCTCTGTGGCTGCTGATCACTTTTAAAAAATCGAATAATAATAATAAATTAGATTGTGTCGCGTCATTTCTGGTGCATTTTAAATCTGTTCCATATCCCTTATTGGACTGGGTAATAAAAGCACTAGACTTTAATCCAGAAAGCAAAGCTGGCTCTTGTCCCAACATCGGAAGTTTTCTTGGCGCCTTGTAGAATTTGGCTAAAAAGCCATGCATTTTGATTTGAAGGTCTTTTTTTTTTTTTTTTTTTTTTTTTTTTTTCTTTGTTTTACTCTTCACACTTTTCCACAAGACGCCTTTTAACCTACCGTCACCTTAACAGTTTTTCTTTTTTTTTTTTTAAAAAAAAAAAGATATGAAGTTTCAATCAACGGTTGTGGCGATCGCATGCGTCGTCGTAGGGTTGACGGCACTAGCTGATGGGGCGACTATTAAACATCGGGATGAAAGTAAAAACAAGAATAACAATATCAAAAACAAGGACAAGGACAAAAAAGATGATCGCAACCACAATCCATATATGCTATCAGCTGCTGAGGAACGCTTTTCCTCCTGTGGAAATCCCAACAGTGATTTCTTCAAGGTAGACTCGATTAGTTCGAACCGTCATTTGTGTTCTGGCTGCAAGGCCTGTATCGATATCGGGGGTTCGCTTAAGGGCCGAATCGAGAAGGGGGCCCAAGTCCGTCTAAAGATCACGAAGTTTTTTCTACCGGTGTATGAAAAGACCTTTGATTTATGTTCTATTTTGGAAGATACAGAGGGAGATGTTCGTTGCCCTATTGAAGCTTCAAACAATCATCTTCATGCATGTATACCTTTAGACACGTCTATTCCCACGAATGTAAGTTTTATTTTTATTTTTATTTTTATTTTTTATTTATTTATTTATTTATTTTTTATTTTTTTAAAACAAGTAAAAAGAACCAAGTTTAAATGCTTTCTTTTTCTCCTTTTTCTTTTTCTTTAGATTGCGGCCAGTTCTACGTTATCTGCAGTGACAGCAAATTACGAGCCATTATTTTGTATAACAGGCAATGCCATGATCGAATCCAATTGTCCCAGCGATGCTTGTGATCAGTAGGAAAAAGAGAAAAGAAGAAAGAAAAACCAGTTGCTCTCACAGCAGGAAAAAAAAAAAAAAATAAAAAAAAAAAAGAGAGAGAGAGAGAGAGAGAGAGAGAAAATGTTACTTGGATATTACCTTGAGCAAGCCAGGAACCAAAAAAAAAAAAAAAAAAAAAAAAAAAGAAATAAACTGGTCCGTGCCTTTGATACATGTACACAAGAAATGGTGCAAAAATACAAAACTTGTAAACTTGTGTAACGCGTTTATGATTCCATGCTGTTTTATACATGTTACATGCTCATGTGCTACCAATCACACACAGCAAAAGAGAGAAGCAACGGAAATATTAAAAAAAAAAAAAAAAAAGATTAAATTCTTGTTGCTGCCAATTATCATACAAGTTTTTTTATTTTATTATTTTTATTATTTTTATTATTTTTATTATTTATATTATTTTTATTATTTATATTATTTTTATTATTTATATTATTTTTATTATTTATATTATTTTTATTATTTATATTAATTAAATGCTTTCTACAAAAAACGAGTTTTTAGTTCAAGGATGGAGAGGGTATGAACGTAATTAAAGACTTCTATGTATAAAAACAGGAGGAATAAATTACAAAGGGATGTTTTTTTTTTTTTTTTTTTTTTTTTTTTGTTTAGTTAAAGACATCACCAGCAGCAACACCAGTCAAATCAGCCTTGACCATCTCTTCGACCAAGGCATCAAACTCAACTTGGCGCTTCCAGCCAAGCTTTTCAGCAGCCTTGGCAGGGTTACCCAAAAGCAACTCAACCTCTGTAGGACGGTAGTAGGCTGGATCGACACGAACACGGATCTTACCCTGGCTATCGAACCCGACCTCCTCCTCCGCAGCACCTTCCCAGCGGATGGTCTCGCCAATGGCCTTGAATGACTTCTCAACAAACTCACGGACAGTGTGCATCTCTCCCGTTGCCAGGACAAAGTCCTCGGCCTTTTCCTGTTGAAGCATCCTCCACATACCCTCGACGTAATCGCGAGCATGGCCCCAGTCACGCTTCGCGTCCAAGTTACCGAGGTAGAGGCACTCTTGTTTGCCCAACTTGATTGATGCGACAGCGCAGGTGATCTTACGGGTCACAAAGGTGCGACCGCGGCGAGGAGACTCGTGGTTGAAAAGGATACCGTTGCAAGCATACATGTTGTAGGCCTCACGGTAGTTGACTGTGATCCAGTAGGCATACATCTTGGCGACACCATAAGGAGAGCGAGGATAAAAGGGAGTGGTTTCGCTCTGAGGAATTTCCTGGACCTGTCCGTACAATTCTGATGTAGAAGCCTGTGGAAATATTAAAAAAAAAAAAAAAAAAAAAAAAAAAAAATCAATAAATTGTGGGTCCTTAAGCCCTCTCCTTTTTTTTTTTTTTTTTTTTTTTTTTTGACCGAGAATAGGGAATCAGTTAAAGTGATAGTGTACCTGATAGAAGCGGACGAGGTGTGCAAGGCCGCAGGTACGGATGGCATCGAGGAGACGAAGAGTTCCGACGGCATCGACATCAGCAGTGTACTCGGACATGTCAAATGAGACCTTGACGTGGGATTGAGCACCCAAGTTGTAGATCTCAGTAGGGAGGACCTTGGAGATGATGTGAACCAAGCAAGTTGAGTCGGTCAAATCACCGTGGTGAAGGCGCATCTTGGGGTCTAATTACAAGCGTAAGAGGGAGAAGAGAAAATGTATTCATGAGACAATGAATAATGAATATGATAATGATAATAATAATATGTGTAACGCCATAGTGTAGTATTTGTCCATGCTCCTAAATGATCAACACAATCCTGCAATCGCTGTAAAAGTTTTTTTTTTTTTTTTTTTTTTTTTTTTCCTTTTCCTTTTTCCTTTTTCCTTTTTCCTTTTTCCTTTTCCAAATGATTAAATCTATCCTTACTCTCATGGGCATCCTTGTAGAGATGTTCAATTCTGCCGGTGTTGAAGGAAGATGATCGACGAATGATTCCGTGGACTTGATAACCCTTCTCGATCAAAAGTTCGGCAAGATAGGAGCCATCTTGACCAGTGATACCTAATGGAGATTTTGAAGGTGACATATTAAAGTTAGAGGAGATATGATTCGCGTCGATTTTTAATTTTTAATTTTTATTTTTATTTTTTTTTGTCGATCCTTGGATCTGAAGGACCATTGAAGGGAGAAGCATTTGATCAATTTACCGGTGATAAGGGCAACCTTGCGCTTGCGGTAGTCCTCAGGGGACATGTGGACGATCTCAATTGGGGAAGTCATGTTTGTATAGTGATTTTTTGTATGGGAAAAATAAAATAAAAGAAGGGGATGAGGGGAATGAGGGGAATGAGCGATGAAGAGAATGAAGAAAAAAAAAGCGGAATGAAGAGCGATGTCAACCCAGTTTTTATACTCCCACTTTGAGATTCAAGATGAGGTTGTGATGAAGGACTTTTTTTTTTTTTTTTTTTTTTTTCTGCTCACAAAACGGTTGGTCGTCTTATTTTTCTGATTAAGAGTCGAGTCTTCAAAGATTTAATTCGACCAATCTAAAGTCATGATTGGGAATTTTTTGACTTTATCTCTCTCTCTCTCTCTCTCTCTTACTCTCACTCGTCTCCCGTCTGCTATCTCCATTATCTCTCCATACATATTGCTCTCTTACACTACTTCTTCTTCTTTCCTCTTCTTCCACTTCTTATCCTTATTCTTGTCTCTTTCTCCGCCATTCTCTGTTCCCCCTCCAGCCTCATTTTCCATTGTTATTCAATCTTTCTTTCCTAAAATCTCGCAATCCCCCCCTGGGAACTGCAAGTCCATTGTTCAATCGAAGGGAAATTAATTTGATCTAGAAATAGAAAAACTTTAAATCTGTCTCGCTAGATCAGCGACGCTCTCTCTCTCTGTCTCTTAAAAGGATAAGTGATAGGGATGTGGGACACATGGACCAAAACTCTAGCCTCTAAACAACACAACCTGGGGTCCATTCTCTCCGATCCTTTTTTTTTATTTTTTACTTTTTATTTTTTATTTTTTATTTTTTATTTTTCTTCTTAAATTGATCTTCTATATTCTTTCTAATGAGCTCTATTCCTCACTCTCATTCTCATTCTCATTCTCATTCTCTCGTTCTCGTTCTCGTTTCTCGTTTCTCGTTCTTCTTTCTCTGTTTAACTTTTCTTTCTTTCTTTCTTTTTTTTTTTTTTAAGAAATAAAAAAAAAAAAGCTAGTGGATGAATATTTGTCATGTAATGTTGGTAGCTTTCACTGCACAAGGGATGTTTGTCTGACACGTTTAGTTATTTTTGCTTGCTTGTGCCACCCACAATAAATAAAATGTTGGATTGATCATTCCCACGACAGACAAAATTCCTAAAATTATATAAAGTATTTTACATTGTGTAGTATGAATTTAGTATGGGAAGGAAGAATAGAGCATGATTCGTAAAAAGGCCATTTATATTACATGTTACATCTAACCTGTAAATACATGTATATATATATATATATATATATTCCTATACATCTTTTTCAAAGGATCGAAATATGGCCTTCGTGTATATATAATATGAATAAAAAAAAAAAAGGTTCATTCAACTCTGTGAACGCTCTTAAAATTTTAAACTTTTAATTCTTTCTTTAAAAAGGAAAAAGAAATAGAAAAAGAAAAGAAAGAAAGAAAGAAAGAAAGAAAAAAAAAAAAAAAAAAAAAAAAAAAAAAAAAGACCTTTCATTGATCAAGTTCTATCTAACGCTTCAAGACGTGTGGAATCAGATTTATATACATATAAAACGTATTATGTAACCGAAAAATGACCAAGTCTTGAAACAAGTTTGTTAAAAGTTGCTTTTGATGCAGATGTTTCTTTCAACAACCCACCTGCCTGTTTCGTCCATGACTCAGTGTCTCAAGGGCCAACCTTTTCCTTAAACTTGAAGGACCATAAAGCTTAATCAATCTTCTCATCGGCTATATTATTATATATTCCTGCTATCAGTCTCCGACAACTGTTCTTGGATGAAACACATCTTTTTATTTTTTATTTCTTATTTCTTATTTTTTATATATATATTTATTTCTAAGCAGTTCTTCGGACAAGGGGGAGGGGGAGGAGTATCATACAAATCTCGAGCATCAAAAGTCTGTTCAAAGTGGGCAGAAAAAGGGATGAAAGATGAAAGAAAAGAAAAGAGTAGCAACTAATGTACACATTCTTTTTTTTTTTTTTTTTTTTTTTAAAAAAAAAAAAAAAGAGAGAAAGAAAGAAAGAAAGAAGAAAAAGAAAAAGAAAAAGTGCAGGAACCATAAAATAAAAATACAAGTGGAGAGAATTAAAAAAAAAAAAAAAAAAAAAAAAAAAAGAAAGGCGGTGCCCGATTTAGAGTCGCAGCATAGATGAGAGAGCACGTAACTGTCTATCATCTTCGACCCAGCGGACTCGTTCTCTTGAGATCTCCTTTGGTTCCAACTTTGGGAGCAACAGCGTATCCGTAGCCAAATTGGCCAGGACAGAGAGCGAACCTTGGTCGTGGTTCGAGGCCGTAGCGGAGGGTGCAACAAGGGAAGAAGGCTCCCGTGGGCTCGAGGGCAGCCCATGGGTCTTGTTGTGATCAAAGCCGGTAGCAAGAAGAGGGGTGTCGCGCAGAACTGGGATCATGATAGGGGCCAACTCGTGATTGCTGTGACTATCATTGCCATGACTGTCTACCATGGATTCGGACATGACGGAGTCGACCACCAATGGCTGATCATCGTCCGAGACCCAAGAGATTGCGGGTGAATAGGTATTGAGTGGCGGAGTAGGGAATGATGACATTGCAGTTGGACTCGAAGATTTATATCGCTTCTCTGGACCGGGGCCAAAGGATCCATACAAGGGAGAGTATCCGACGTTTTGGCTGCTGGAGCGTAAGCGTGGATCGTGCATGGTTGCTTGGATGGGTGAGTAACGATGATCCTTGTTCATATTCAAAGACCCAGAGTGTGTACGGCGATGACCAGCACCCAAGACGAGCGAGTCCGGTCTGCGGGCAACGGGCTCGGATTTTTCATCTGTGTTGTTGTTCTGGAAAGCGCGATGGTGAGGACGATGGCGTGACCTCGTTGGTGGGGACGGGCTCGAATGAGTCGTGGATGAGGCCGATTGTGAATGGGAGTCAGCATGGGGAGAGGTCTCGGGATAGATACCGCTGGGGATGAGGATATTCGCAAACCGAGGGTCCTGCGAGGGTGTCTCGAAAAGTCTTTCGGAGGCGACGTCCTCGGTTGTGTAGTAGGAGATGAGGTGTAGTTTCTTATTGTCGGATGTGGTGATGGAGAAGGATTGCTTAAGCAGACCATTGGGACGGTAGACGTTCTTGGCACCGTTTCCGGCTTGGGTTTGTGAATCATCGAGTTCACGGTAGGTGAGGAAACTTCCAGTGACACGGCTTGGGCTCCAGCTCTTGCCATCAGTCCAACGTCTCATTCCGGCCTCGCGTTCATCGAAGCAGTAGACGGACCCAGAGCGGACGCACTGACGTTCGATATCGGACAAACGGCGGTGAACTCGTGAAATGATGCCGAGATGACAAGCTATTATATGATTTCAACCCAAGGAAAGAAAGAAGCATGAGTGGTTAACATGATTATTATTATTATTATTGTTGTTGTTGTTGTTGTTATTATTAATTAAAGGTAATTAAGCGGGAAGAAATCGATTAGAGAAACGGATAAACTATCAAGCTCCTTAAACTTTCTTTAATTGACAATTGACAAAGATTGCTGACATCTAATGATCACTACAATTCGCCCTATTAAGCTTTTTTTTTTTTTTTCTGTAATCCATTCTTATCATAATGGATTATGAACTTAATACGGCGCGGTCTGTAAAAGCAGAGACAAGTTAAGGATTCCAAATCCTCTTCGCCTCTTTTTTCTTTTTTTTTTTAATTATTCCCAGGTACAATAAAAAAAAAAGAGAGAGAAAAAGAAAAAAAAAAAAGAATGATTTGAATGAATGTAGGGCTAGACTACAGAATGATGGATGAATTACCTTCAAAGATGAGGAGCGCATCGTGAGGCGTCTTAATCAGACCAAAATAGGTCTCCATAGAATGATCCATTCTGGCGGTGTATGTGTTTATGAAAATGATTGGGGGTTGTGGATGTGGATGGAGGAGAGAAGGGGAGGGAAATAAAAAAAAAAAAGAAAAAGAAAAAAAGATAGCTCAGTGTAGGGAGGGATGGATGAAGAAATGAATGGGTAGAGTCTATTTATGAGAAAGAAGAAGAAAAGAGAAAGAAGAAAAAGGAAAAATGCTTAAATGGATCAAGGATTGTTTTTTTTTCTTTCTTTAGCCCTTTTGCGTTAGGAGGAGAGAAAGAAAGTTGTAGAATGTAAATGTATTACAAATACATGGGAAGGAGGAAGAGAAAAGGCTGCGGCGAAATGAAGACGCGCAGTCGGGTGGAAGAAGATGGAGATAAAGAGAGATGTGGAAGGGATGGAATAAAAGTGATCGTGGCAAATTGTTTAAGGTAAGGGAGGATTGCCTAGAAAAGGAAAGAAATGGCTGATTGTTTGGCTCTTTTGATTAATCTCTTTTTTAAATTATTAAGAGTGGAGAAGAGTGAGAGAAAGAGAGAAGTGTGCGAAAGAGTATAGCAGTGTAGTATAAAATGTAAATGATAAAAGATATACTGTGTGTAAAAGAAGAGGAAGATGCAATGAAACTTGAAGGTGGATAATGCCCCAGGGAAAGAATGAAAACAAAAGAAAGAGAATGAAAGCAGAAGAAGAAAGAACAAAAAAAGAGGATTGACGGAAGAGAAGGAGAAAAGCAATCGGCTTTTATAGTTGCGAATCGCTCAAGTGGAAAAAAGATTTATGCACAAATTGAATACACTCCAAGACATTATAAAGACTGAATACATCTGAATAGGACAGAATACAAAAGACTTCTTTTTTTTTTTTTTTTTTTTTT